CGTTTTGCACAAAAGTATAAATTCTCACATTCATTATACTTAAATATCTTTATATATTCTAAGTGTTATTGAGTGAACTATAGAGATATAAGTTTTAATTATATTATTTACTCTTTAAAAGAGTATTGTTACATTTCAAACAATTATAATCCTTTAAAAGTTTAAGTGAAAAACTCTTTATCAGTAGTGATATACTTTATCAAAGTGAAAAATCTTGAAAAAAATATTTATTCAAGTGGTGAAAAGAGTTTGGTGAGAATTTATTAAAGATATTGTAGTATTTAGTTTGGATTAGTAAAAAATATAATACTCAAGATTAATTTGATGCTTCAGGTGTAGGTGTAGGCTTATTGAATCATGTTAAAAACCAAGTTTGCAATTTATATCCCTATATTTTTTATTTTAAGTACTTTAATTGTATTGTTTATGTTTAATTGAGTTAATTATAATATTTAATATTATTAGTGAAAAATCTAATTCACCCTTGTAGGTGTTATTGTTGCTTTAATCATAGAGAACAGTTGATACTAGAGCGTAGTTTTCATTTATATAAGTTTGCTTAGACTTTGAATATAATGACAACCACTAGTTTTAATGTTCAAATTGAAGGATTGTCAACTTTTAGGTCACATTTATTTAATGGTAATGACTATATCTATTGGAAAGTTAGGATTATTTTATATATTCAATTTATTGATTATGATTTATAACTATCTATTGAAAATGAACCCCACAACCTACTAAAATTAAAAAGGATATAACAGTTCCTAAAGTTATAAGTGATTATATCAATGGTGATAAAAAAAATTATTTGAAGATGCTAAAATTATAAATACTTTATATTATACATTGAGTAGAGGTGAATTCAATAGGATCACATCATACATGAATACTAGAGATTTATAACATACATTAAAAATAACACATAAAATAAAATAACGAATCGGTAAAGGAATAAAAAATTGACATGTTAGTGCATCAATGTAAGTTATTTAAAATACTTTCAAATGAATCCATAATTAATATGTTTACTAAAATGACAATTATTACTAATAATTTAGATGATCTTGGTAGGACTTATACTGATTTTAATATCATGAGAAAAATTCCTAAGTCTTTGCTAAAGACTTAAGAAGCAAAGGTAATAGCAATCTGAAAAGCTAAGGACCTCATCAAACTTTCATTGAAAGAACTCATCATATCACTTATAACTCATGAAATCACCATAAAAAAAAAAAGAACTAAAAGAGAAGCCAAAGAAGAATTTAACATTTAAAATCATGCATCATATTGATAGTGATAATGATGATAAAGTGGAGAAGGACATTGCATTTATAATAAGACAATTCTAAAATTTTCTAAGAAAGAATTAAGGGAACAAAAAGTTCTTAAACTTTAAAAATAATGAAAATAAAAAAAATATATATATAATAAGGAAGCATTTAGATGCTATAAGTGCAACAAGACAGGACATATAAAGGTTGATTACCCTCTCCTTCAAAATTAAAAGAAGAACCTCTATAACAAATGAGCAATAAAAGCAATGCCTCGTACTCTAGCTCAAGTGATGTGAAGAGCATGAAAAGCATGCATTGTAGTTGATGGTTGCAATAAGATGAACCAACTTGAAGAGAAAAACAAGGCTTTGAAGGAAAAGGTTAATAAGTTGAACATTACCTAGTTAAATTCACTTAAGATTCTAAGTTCTTAGAAATCATATTTGATAGTTAAAGATGTGTTCTTATAAAAAAAAGGTTTAGGCTATCAACTAAAAAAAATAAAAAATATTTAAAAAATTACTTTATTAAAGCGAAACATGTAATTATTGTAGAAGCATAAGTCACTTGATTTATGTATATCATATGAAAAAAAAACAAGGTTAGTAATATGACTTGGGCTCCAAAAAAAAACCACCACTAATCACAAAAGACCTATAAAGGTATAGGTACTAAAAATCTCATCTTGAATTTGTGTATAGGAATAAAAGGAATATAGAAAGTGGTTCTTAGATAGTGCTTGCTCAAAATACATGATCAAAGATGATTCATTATGTTCTTAAGCATTACCAAGATCAATTGTGGAAAATTTATCTTTGAAGACAACATAAAAGGAAAGATCATTGAAGTTAATGGTACTAGAGATAAGTCATTTTTCTCCATAAAAAAATATTTCTTGTAAATAGTCTAAAATATAATTTGTTAAGTATTAGTTAATCATATGATAATAACTATAAAATTATGTTTGAGCATATATGTTGCTTAATCCTTAAAAATGATAAAGTTGTTTTTGTTAGTAATAAAAAAAGAAATGTTTATAAGATTAAAATTGTTGTGTGCACGAGGAGTGAATATAATCAAACTCTTAACCAAGAGGAGATTTGTTAGTACCAAAACTCAAGATGCCAATGGATTTCTTTTGAGGATAGGAACACTTCATTTTTCTCATACGAAGACTCTGATTAGGAGAAAAAAAAAGATTAGGGCTCTAAAAAATGAGACTAATCTATGGGTATGAGATGAGGTCACCTTGTAAGATATAGTGTTGCAATTTCACCAGGAACTATTTATATAGAAGGATGAAGTAGTTTAGTGAGATAACTCATAAAGTGATTTTTCTAAAGCATATTTAATTCAATTAGATATTTTATTGGAGCTAGTAACAGATAAGGAGATCAATAAGACCTTGTTTGATATGAAATCTTTTAAGGCTCCAAGTTCGGATGGATATCAACCTTAAAAATAAGTCTCAATGATATATGGTTGGGCCGATAAAGTGTAAGTTTATCAAGGATATTTTCAAGGGGACTTCATAGATAACAGATATCAATCTTATGTAGTTTTGATTTCAAAAGTTCTCACTCTAGAATATTCACCAATTTAGACCAATTGTTTATGCAATGATAATTGCAAAATTTTGACTAAATTGCTGGTGATTCGGCTCAAACACTTGATGCCTTAATTAATTAATAAATTTCAGAGCAGTTGTGTGCCGGGTAGGCAAATTACGAATAACATTATGACTGTCCTGGAGGTTAATTACTCCATGCACAAGATAAAAGGGAGGAGAGGAGTCATGACTATTAAGGTTGATCTTGAGAAGGCATATGATAGGTTAAAGTGGGACTTCATTCAAGAAACGATAACAAAGGCAAGATTACCTAAAATGATAGTAGAGATTATCATGAAATGTATTAAAAGAGCTTCACTGAGTATTTTATGGAATGATATTCCTTAGTCTAAGTTTCTTCCTTCAAGAAGAACTAGACAAGGAGATTTGTTATCCCTGTATATTTTTGTTTTATACCTGGAAAAGCTTTCTTAAATGATAAGTGGAGTGGTGGAGATGGGTTCTTGGAAGCCTTTCAGAGTGAGCAAAAGGGTTAAAGTATTTCTCATTTATGTTTTGCAGATGACATTTAATTTGCAGAAGCTAGTGAAGATCAGATAGAAAGAATTATAACATGATTAAATAAGTTTTGTGAGGTATCAGGTAGAAGATGAATGTGAACAAAACTAATATATTCTTCAGCAGGAATGTAACTCCCTCGTTGGCTAGAGTCATCAGCAGAAGAAATGGATTTAATGTCAATGAGAACCTGGGTAAATATTTGAGGGTTCGTATGCTTCATCAAAGGATCACAAAACAAACACATAATTACTTGATTGAAGCCATACAGAAGAGGTTAGCAAACTGAAAGTCAAACAACCTCTCATTAGCTGGTGGGATAACACTACAAGTTAGTCCTCTCTTCTATTCCTCTGTATCCACTGTAGGCTACCATGCTCCCAAGTAGTATTTACCAGGAAATTGAGAGGATATGCAAGAGATTTATTTGAGGAATGAATGAGGGTGGGGATAAAATTCATTTTATTAATTGGAAGACTTTGTGTCACTCAAGAGATGAAGATGGTCTGGTGATCAAAAAGATGAGTTTGATTAATAAGGCTTTTATGATGAAAATAACATGGGGTATCATCCATGATAAGGACAGTCTTTGGGCAAGTGTCCTTGGGAGGTAAGTCTGCAAAATCTCAAGATCATGTTCCTCATGTTAAAGCTAACGAGAAAGACTCGGCTTTGTGGAAAACATGGACCATATGCATTTATTCGATACGCTTCTCAAGATGATGCCTTCCTTGACCTGGAAAACATGGACCAGAGGGTTTGGGCCCAACACATTGCACTTGCCTTCTTAGGAACCTTCAAGCTGGGAAGCTCATGCTGTTGTCATTCCTTGTCATCATACACTAGGTTGATTTTTCTTGATCTTTCCAAACCTGGGAAGGACGGGTTTAGAGGATAATCCTGGAATCAGAGGAGTCATATACTCATGGTACATGGAACAATCCGGAATGTAATGCGTATTTGTTTTTATGGCAGAAGAAACAATGTTTTCAAAAACTTTGAATTTGTTTATTGAAATTATCTTTTTAGTATTTTTAAATTATTTTAATATACTGATGGTAAAAATAAATTTATTTTTTAATATATTTTTAAATAAATAATATTTTAAGAAATATTCCTTACCGATCAACAATCAGACACTTATTATATTGTTGATGTTGTTCTCTGATTTTTTTTAGATTAACGTGGGTGTCCGGGCCAGCTTGCGCGCACCACGACTAATCTCACGGGCCCTGAAGTTAACGACCATGTAAGTCTCCAGTGGCCATCATATGAGCAACCAAGAATTCGAACTTAAGACCACAGAAGGAGCAAACCCCTTGATCCCAAGTCTTTACCACTTGGCCACCACCTAGATGGTTTGTTGTTATCTGATTAAATGAAGAAGAAGAGGTTGCGTGATTATTTTCCACCGTGCATGAAAATGGACCGTCGTATTTGCCTAATAAATGCTCATTAAACTATATGATAAAGAGAACAATAGAAAAGCCTCGAAAGCGAAGCAGGGCGGTAGCGGGTACCAGTGGCCGAGAGACAACTTTATTCCTACCGAAAAAGTGATAGCTAACCCTTTAAAATCATGCTGCTTCTCCTTCTTCTTTTTTCTTCTTTTTTTTTTTTTAATTTGAGGAAAGGAATATTCTTTCGCGAATCCCCCGAGCGTCTCAAAAAGTCGTTAACCAATCGAATAAAAATAAAATAATTGTGCTAAGGAAGAAGAAGTTAAAGCGCGAGATTCTTTGTGCGCTGCGCTTAATTTCTGTTCTAAGCACCGCTAAAAAATAAGTTCTTTCCTTCTTTCCTTTACGAGAGAGGAGGCAAGGATAACCCCCGTTTAAAGAAGAAGAAGCAGAAGAAGAAGAATGGAGGAAGAAAAGGCAAAGAAGAGCTCGAGGACAGTAGAGGCAGCAGCAGAGGAGGAGAAGGAGAGGCCAGTTCGAGTATATGCAGACGGCATCTACGATCTCTTCCACTTTGGCCATGCCCGTTCTCTCGAGCAAGCCAAGAAACTGTATCTGAATTAATTAATTAACTATTATCACTCTCACAATCTATCTCTTCTGTTTTAATTGAATTCATTTATTATTTTCTGTTTCAATTTAACTATATAGGTTTCCCCCCCTCAAAATAATAGTAATAGAAATAATTGGATAGGTTTCCAAATACGTATTTGGTGGTTGGATGCTGCAATGATGAGATGACTCACAGATATAAGGGTAAAACTGTGATGACTGATCAAGAACGGTACGAGTCTCTTCGCCATTGCAGGTACCTTAGCTTTTTATCCATCTTTTCAATTTTTATTCTCTATTTCTTTGATTTCAAACAGGATTAAAATTCCGATGCATAACAAATCACCATAATTTTTTTAAAGGGTAGGTTTATAATTAAAGAATCTGATTTTTGGGTTTTGAATAACAACCATCAAGGATGATCACTTCGCTGTAGTAGACATGCTTGCAATGCACCAGAGGCAGTGCCAAGTGATTGGAAAGGTAGAAACCAGTGTTTTAAGGATTGTTGAATGTCTTCCCATTCAAACCCATCAAATCCTAACAAACATTGCATGCTTCCAGAGCTTCTTGCCTTCCTACAACCATGGGTGAATTGCGTCAATTAGAGGCCCTTTTCTTTTGGTTCTTGGACAAATCTTTTACTGACCAAACATTGAAAAGATTTACTCCACAAACTCATGCAAGTAAATGCAGTGAGAAAGGGTGTCCCGGCCTTTCACCACTACTAAATGCGTAACACATACACATGGCTTTGATAAGACCTTGTTCTGTGTTTGCTCCTCCAATATATTGTCAGTCTTATCTTCTTAAATACTGCAGCTTAAACAAAGGCCTTCACCTTACAGGGTAGGAGCCAATATAACAATCCGAACCCTTACCTTTCCTTTCAAGGAAATCGTACTGAATCAAATATTTTAATTAAGATCTTTTTTCTTTCTTTTTTCTAAATAAAAAGAACCAATAACATCTATTCTCTTATTTAAATATCAAAAGAAATGAAATGTCCAAAAAAGCTTTCCCTATCTGATGAGGTCTAGGAATTAGAATGATAAAACTGTGAAGAACTTTAACTGCCTCCTATAAAATTTAAGCCATGAGCGTGGATTGCTGGCATCAATTATTTTCCCTCAAACCGAATTGCATAGACTGCACACAAGATAACATACACGTCGAAAAATTCTTCGCATGCGGGGTTTTATCTGTTTGGTGTTTCTGGTAGCAGATTGGATAATTAATAATAATAATAATAAAACCTAAGTGATCAGGTTACTTCTGCACACATTTTATTTTCACGGTTTTAATTTGCTGCACTTGTTTCATACTGGGAGCCTGTCTGTTGGCAAAACTTAGTTTTTTTTTTTTTTTATCTTAGATATTAAATTTGAACAAGTAAATTCTATCTAGGGATTACGGTGCATGTAGCATTGATTGACGATAAATTTTGCAGGTGGGTTGACGAAGTTATCCCTGATGCACCATGGGTTATCACCCAAGAGTTTCTCGACAAGCATAGGATCGACTATGTGGCTCATGACTCTCTTCCGTAAGGTTAATCAGTCCAAATGGACCCATCTGCTTGTCATTCCAACAATTAAAAAAGATTCATGGAAACTGCATGCTTGTGTTTTTTGGGTCTTCCACTTCAGCTATTTGAAGAATAAAAAAATCATTGCTTTTAGTTGAATGATTTGTGAAACTGCATGGAAGCTAAAATAATCTTCTGTATTTGTCTTTTGTATGAGCAAGTGCTGTGTTTGATGCCTTTCTACTTCTTCTTGTTTTTTTTTGGTGCAAAACATGTTCAAGACCTGCTTCTAATTAAATTACTGGCCATATTTGCAGTGGTTGCTATCTTATCTTCCTTCCATTTACCATCTAAGTTACAATAAGTATATTGTTGATTCTGTTACAACAAATTGTTGTCCATTTAACTTCATTATGTTCTTTGCTACTTAATTTTTTTCTTGTTTTTGCTCATTTGACATCTTGTTATTGACAGTACTTCAATTTGGCATCCTGCGCCATAATATAAGCTTTCATGTGTAGATGAATTAAAATCTCATCACCTATGTGTTTTTGCCTCCCTATTGCTCTTCCTTGAATTTTGAAGTTCCCCACGCTTTTTAATATGTTAATTGTTTTCTGTTTGCCCTAAAATTGTAGTTATGCTGATGCAAGTGGGGCCGGAAAGGATGTTTATGAATTTGTAAGTTTGGTGATAACTGAATTTTGTTTTTTCTCAAGCACTAGCTCACCTTGACTTGATAAAACCTTTCAATAAATGGTGATGAGAATAAAAATCTGCAATTCTATTCTATGCGGCTTTTCATTCCTATCTGGCTCGCTCTGTTACTTTATAGCTTATATCTTCTCTTCCATCACCATGACTGATTCTTTTATGTGCTAGACCTAATATTTTTTAAGCTCGTGCTACCATATGACCACTGCTATCTGTATTTTCCCACACCCATGATGATCCTCTTTGCTCTCATATCCTCTCACATAACAGGGAAATATACCTAAATTTGTTGGTTGATTGATTGTTGAGCGGCATATGATTATTAGTTTCATAAACTTTGGCATTACTTGCCTCGGTAAAGGCCAGTCCATTGTTTTTTCTTAGTTTTCTTGATTTAACTGTCTCATACATATGAAACCTTTTCACACATGGCATTGGGAAAAAAAATTCCATTATTCTCCAAAATCTATCCCTACCTGTGAAAATGTTGCTAACAGGGGGGTACCTTTTATCTCACTTAAACCATTGCTTCTTGACCTGTATCCTCTTTCAATTTCCTAAGTCACCATTACAGGGCTTTTCTTGAATGTTCATGACCAAATAATTTGCTAATTTTCTGTTCATTGCTACCATAGCTTCTCATGGTTTTGATGACTTTTCATGTGCAGCGAACTCAATAGACAAAACATGACATACTCTAATGATTGACATAATTTTTTTGGATCTGGAAAATCGTGATTACTTAATAGACTCATCACTATCATACAAAGTACGACTGGTTTCACTAGAATCCATTTCTGCAAAAATGTTCAGGTCAAGTCTGTTGGGAGATTTAAGGAAACAAAACGGACTGATGGGATCTCCACTTCTGATATTATAATGAGGATTGTTAAAGATTATAATGAGTATGTGATGCGTAATTTGGCACGTGGATATACAAGAAAAGATTTGGGTGTCAGTTATGTGAAGGTTCACTCTATTTGCAATTCTCTTTTCTGAGTTATGGCCATTGTGTTCTTGCCAAGAATTGATCTGTTTCATTCCCTATCCTCTTCCCACTAGGAGAAGCGACTGAGAGTTAACATGGGGCTTAAAAGGTTCCGTGAGAAAGTGAAGAAACAGCAAGAGATAGTCGGGGAAAAGGTACGTAAATTGCTTTCAAAGTTGCTAATACTAAGTTGTGAGCTTGCATGGCATGTGTGTTAACAATTTGTAGCATGTGAGATTTTGTGCTTCTCTGTTGGAAGGATAGGTACAACCTTGATAAACTATGACTATTTTTCATGCCATGAATGCACGATGCCATGTTGTTTTCCCTTCCCTTGTTTAGGATAGATGTAAATGTGTGCAGAACAAGAAAGAAAATATAAATATTGTTTAGCACATGTGCTGAAGAGTAGAAACAGTATAAGACAAAATAATTTTAGAAAGAAAACCAAAATCTAGTCTGGCTTACAAACAGTAACATGAATTTTAGCAGTTGACTCTCTAGCATAGAACCGGACACCAGCCATTAAATTCACGATGTTTTACATTGCAGCATCTCTTAATTAAATTTGCAATAATTCTGTTGTAAGAATTGATTTAAGTGCTTCTGTATAGACAGAATGGTTATGTGAACATAAAACTTTAAAATTTTCCTTTTCATGCATCCTATATTGAAACGCAGAAATTTCTCCTCCTTTTATTTTGATTAGTTGCATAATCAAATGGTGTTGCGAATATAGTATAGCATCTTGGGAATTAAGATGCCTTGTGGATTCTTATAATTCATTTTCTTCCTGACTTTTCGGACTTCTGTAGTCAAGTAATAAGTATGAATTTTATCAAATTAATTATGGAGGGTAATTAGAAGTAGTCTGATTGCTCTCTCCAAAACAGATTTTTTTTTGCTTCACCTGTGCCCAAGGGTTCCTAACATTAAGTTGCTTCACCATATAGAACTAATGTTTTAGTCCAAAAGCATCTGACTTCAATCTTTGCTCACTTTCCATCCCGCTGAGGTCTGATGTTCAAAATTAACTGTTGAAGCAGTTTGGTAATTTGGATTAAGATTAGACCATGTAGTAGCCAGTTACTTTATTAAGCATGTACATATTGCTATTAAGATCAGTATTAGAAGTGTTTTGTAAGCAAAATCCTGTCATACTGAACCATCTGTTTATTACGCTGGCATACCTCTTGGAAACACATGATGCAATTTTATTATTGTAAATGATGCCAGTTGGTCAGCAACTTCGTCCCTGGGAGCCAGACTCACTCACCCCTCACCTGCCCCCTGTCCCTCTTTTAAGTTTTGCTTCTCCGAGGAAACACACCCTAGCTTTGCCAGTGGTGGTTTAACTTAAAGATGAGTAGGCCTAGCCAATTGGTATTCAAGCGAGATGCTACCATTAAGTTTGTGCTCTCCTTCTTATTCAATAGACGATAACCCGAAATCAATTATATGCATTACTACCACTTGGCAGATGTCCCATTATAATTGGATTGATATATTCTGCTCTGATGCTGCAGATACAAGTAGTTGCAAAAACTGCCCGTGTGCATCGGAATGAGTGGGTGGAGAATGCTGATAGATTGGTTGCTGGATTTCTTGAAATGTTTGAAGAACGTTGTCATAAAATGGTCAGTCTTCCTTCCTGGCCTGAACTAGGTGGTAGTCTGTATGTGCATGTATAATCTCTCTTTCTATGCTTATGCCACGTTTGGTGTGCATTTCTATCAGGGAACAGCTATCAGAGAGCGAATTCAAGAGAAACTGACAAAGCAGCAGTTGATAGGTCTTATGTATGATAGATACGATGGTGATAGTGATGAGTACTACTACGATGATGACTCTGGAGAAGAATACAGTGACTAGGACAAACAAAGAGCTTCTTTGTTTATTTAATTACTATTGTTGGGCATTGATACTGAGTTTTGGTGTTTTAGAAGAAGTAGGTAGACGATTTCAGCTTGGGAGATGGAACATTGTTTGCAAAATGCGTGCAGACCATAATTTGAGCTGGACCCTCCGTGTTTAAACAAGGGTGCATTTAATATCATTGTGGTTTATAGTTCTCTCTTTAAGCACGACACCCTTGTCTTCCTTTTTATTTTTCCAAAGCATCAAAATCTCGAACTTGATTTTGCATCTAAATGATAAAAAACATGGTTTTGAAACTAAAATGATGTTTAATTTTTTATGTTATGAATACCCATCTATCAACAGACCATGGGGGAACCGTGACCGTAGCTGCCGCAGCCGCGGCTGCTCTAGCCACACCTCGAACAGACTTACTTTCTTGGAATGTCTAAGCATTAAGAAATCATCAACATGAATTGCACTGTTGGTCAATTGAAGCCAAGGAAGGCAGTGCCAGTGGTAGCCTACCTCAATGTTTCAATTGATTTGCATTTCCACCACTTCCACAGAATCCTTTCATTCAAATTAGCAATTGGAACTGAACGCGAGCAAAGTAGGTGGTGGAGATGGATTCCTTACATGTGCAACAACAAAATGATACTGCATCAACACTCCACTAGACAAACAGAAGAAAAACAATCTGGTCCTTCTTGCCCTCTGCTGCTATTATTGCTTGCTTTATATTGTTCTATTGGCGTTGGTATCATAATATCGAAAGGCATCGCAATTGCACTTCCTTCACACATAGAAGGTGGACGTAGTTTTCATGGTATCTCTTTCTGCAACAAGGTGTCCAACCCAACTTCGAGATTGCATTTTCCTTCTTAAAACAATGAGTTTCAAATTTGACTCATTTGGGAAATGATGCACCTGGTTTTCTAATAGAAAAGGATAATCATATATATATATATATGTTATGAAATTGAAAGGATGGGATATAGCGGATAAACATCTAATAAAGTTAAACAAATTATTCACCTTTTAATTAGTTCCATCCTTGTTTGATGGCCATCATTTATATATTCTTAAAAATAAATAAATAAAAATCAAGATTTTTTTTTCAGTTTTTTTGTTTATACGGCTCACATCTCTATCAAGACTAGATTTCTTTTCATTGAAAAGGAGTGTTGTTATGAGGCCTCAAGGTTGATAAGCGAACATCAAAGCAACAACACTTGCTAATTTCTTGCTTGATTTAATATACTCGCTGCAAAAAAAGAATGATCCAAGAAACTAGACTAGGGAAGAGGAGAAACATATATATCAAATAAAAACACTTGCTCATTTCTTATTTGATTAGGCGCTCATTTCTTATTTGATTAGGCAGTGACTATCTGCTCTAGAGAAGGCACTGCTTCATTGGACTTGAGCCTATGACGACAAGTAGGGCATGAAGAGTGAGAGAGCAGCCACTTGTCAATGCAATCGGCATGAAACCTGTGGTTGCATTGAGGCAAGACCCTTATTTTATCACCGTCGGTGAAGTCTGCTAGGCAAATGGCACAACCTGAAGCTGATGATGGTGAACCTTGATGGGCATAAGTTGAAGTTGGCAAAGCTACCATTTCTTTCTTCTTTAAGCCAGAGTTCCGTCTACGAGAAGATATCCACTCTGCTGGTTCAGTTACTGCTCGTCTTGTGCACTGAAATACACATTGTAACATGGAATTGAGGCCCAAAGCACAAACCAAGGCACATGTCATTGCAGCAACAATGACCATTACATTGAAATCCATGGTTGGTTCCTGGGATTGATCTTGACATGGAGGGGTGCTCATGGTGGGACTGAGTGTGGGAGATGGTGAAATTTGAGCCATGAAGAAGGGAATGAGAAGATAGGGAAATTGAAAGGCAAGTATGGGGGATGGAAAGGGAGAAGAAAGGGAGAAGGTAGGGAGGAGAAGGGCACCCAGTATGCGGTACATAACACACCAATGGAACAAGAGGCCTCAGTGGATGGCTGTGTTGAGTTGACTGGTGAACTGTGGACTTGGGTTATGCTTACTTGATAATCCACTGTCTTCCTTGCTTTTTGTAAATGCGCTTTCCCAGAAAGAAAAGGCATCTCTCCCTCACAGAGATTTTGCCCAATTCCTATTGGTTACTGTCAGCAAGTTGCAGCACACAACAAGTCTTGGAAAAAGTAGACAAGACTGATTCTCAGTAGGATCTTCACTAGGATAGATCAGTAGAAGCCAGCAAGCTTCTGCTTTGGATATTCTAGTGGCTGTCTTCGTTCTTTGAAAAAATTCAATACAAGTTATTGGAATTTGATGGGGAACAAAACAGATGCCTTTTACATCCGAATATTGGAACTCTCAAAAAATAAATAAATAAATTCATTATCCCCACGGCGTTTATATGCTTCGAAAGTAACAAGATGCATTGGTAACTAATTAATTAATATAAAAGTTTACTGAATTCAAATCTAAAAGCATTACTGTGCTTTATTTTTTATTTTTTTATTTTTGATGATCTAAATATGCACGCTAGTCCGGGAAAATCACTGGCCATTAAACCAACAAAAAATAAAAGAACTTCTTATGGTGTTTTTGAATTACAAAAAATTAAATTCTAAAAAAGATTATTACATATTTCGGATATAAACTTTTTGATTTTTTTTCTATTTGGGTTTTTCTATTGTTATTTTACTATTTGAATGTGAGAATTTTTAAATTTTTTATCAAGAATTTTTATAAGATCCCATCAAAAAAATTTGATGTGACAGTTAAATTAACATTAAACATAATCGAAAGCATTTAAAACAATTTTATATTTCTATAATTTTTATAATAGGCTTATTTTCTTGATATTGAATTGTAGCCTCAAAATGAATGACTATCTCCAAAATGTACTTTAAAAATAAATAATAATTTGATGGATTTACAATATCATCACGAAAATCAAATTCCGTTACATGCTAACCAATTCAACTGTTTAATTATATCAAATATCTTTCTTCAATGGATATAAATTGAATATAAAAAGAAAAAGAAAAAACGTGAGGTCAGTTTTTATAAACTAAATTGTGGATAATTAATGTTTCCTTGATGCCACAGAAAAATATATTCATAGTAATAGCATCTATAGTATCTACCCTCTAACATTGTTTTTTTTTAATAATACACTGTTAGCTAGCTAGGTGTTTCGTGTTATGCTTAGGTTTATTTATCTTTTTCATGGTAAAAAAATATTAAAATAATATAAATATTTAAAAAAAAATTAAGATTATAGTCATTGGATTGAATAATGTTAATAAACCCTGTTAATTTAATAATATAATTACAAAATTAAAAATTAAGAAAAAATAAAGAGAAAAAAAGACAATGACGATTCAATGTAAAAGATGAACAATTTTCAATATTGTAAAAATATATTTATACGATATTCATAAAATATCTTAATGATTTTATTTATATATTATTCATAAAATATCTAATCTCTAATTTTTTTAAACTAAAAAAAAAAATTTAGGAAACACTTATGTTTTTAAAGAAGTAAAAAAAATTTGATAACTGGGTTAAATCTTAATTAATTTAATAATATTATAAAAATATTAGGCAACAAAAAAATTCATAAAAAACAATGTTAAACAATGAAATTCAAAAAAGAAAATAAAATGAAAAAAAGATTTTAATCCATGTTAACTTTTTAAATTTCATGAATAAAATAAAAACAAGTCGTAGTGCTTGGCCCATGAAGCTACGGCTCACACACTGGTCTTTTATTTTTTTTAACCTCGTCATTCGCCCCAACCATTTGCATAAAAAATAACATGTTATTTGCTAGGCTCAAAATTCAGCCACTGATGTGTTAGGACTAACAGGGTTCTTTTGTTGATCCACAAACTTATTCTCAACTTATTTTTTACTCAAAATACCTATGAAACACCCCAAGGACCTTATTAAACCAATATATGGCCTTTAAAAACACGAAAAACCTGTCCAAAACCCAAAATCAACCCAAAACCTAAAAATCCTCCCAAGTCTAAATTTGTTTTTTAGGTGTTTTCATGGTTAAAAAAAAATAAAAAGAAAAAAAACATAATTGTAACCCCCTCCATCTTATAGAACTATTTGACATAAAGAATGATCGTTTTGGTGGCTGAAATCAACATTTTCTCTATCTACACCATAATTTGGCGACTCCTTTCTCTTCTCTGATCAAAGAAGGATCGAAAAATAATAAAAATAAAGTTCAGTATCAAAAATTTTTATCTCCCTCTCTCTCTATGAGAACTTTTTTGTATCTCACCCTTAATGTATGAAAATTGCAGAGAGACCGATAACCTAATATCTCAAAAAGATAAGGAATGAAAATGAACTTCCACAACAAACTTTAAACACACCCCTTATTCTTCCTGCTTTTTTTATTTAATCCTTTATTTTTCAATTAAACTCTTTTTTCTTAAAATAATATGTAATCGGGGACTAATTTGGGTTCAAAAGGGCTAAATGATGTAAAATAAAAATTTAAAAATCAAATTAAATATTTTAAAAAAAATACTACTCTAGTTCACAATGTTTTGTGAGAATGTAAACAAAAAAATTTAATCTCTTTTAGTATATTATATAATCATTTAAGTTTTAGCCTTCATTTTTTTAGGACATTACCTGCGGAGATAACATATATGGGTTTTGTTCCAAATTCTTTTTCAAATTTTATTTTATTAGTTTTGTCCCTTCAAAATAATCATTACATGTTAGTGTTATCATAAAAACCAATCATCTCCTAATTTTCAAGAAAGTTTCCCAAAGTTTAATGGAAAAAATCTTTATAATATATTTGTTTTTGTGTTTTGAAAGTATAGTTAAAAAAAAATTATTTTATTTTTTTTTAAATTAATTTTTTTGATATCGTCAAATCATCTTAATATGATAATATCAAAAAAAAAATTTAAAATATATATTATTTTAATATATTTTTAAATAAAAAACACTTTAAAAAATAATCATTACCACAATATTAAATAAGCTAAAAATAAACAAATAATTCACATGTCAGCTACTGACATTTTTTGCTTGGTTATGTTAATTGAGTCAATAGGCTTGCAAGAGGAATAGAACTCAGCCCAATAAATATAATAATTATTAATTAATTAATTAAAAAAACTAAGGGTGAAGGAGGTATTATTGTAGTCCAAGATTTATATTATTATTCATTGAAATAATAATTTGATAAAATTGATTGTGGCTCAAGAAAAAACTTTCAACAAAATATTAGGGTAAGATAGTCTTTTTACCATAATAAAATTATTTTATACAAATTGTATGAGGTTAAATTGGTCATTTCACTTTTTTGCATGGTAAAAATATGAATTTAACCCTAAAATAATAATAATAATAATAATAATAATAATAAAGATAATGCCTATTACTCATGGATGTTTTTGTTTTTTAATTTTTTTAAAATAATATAATTACTTTGATGCTCTTAAAGATAAAATCAACTTAACTCTCTCACAATTAGTTTTTTTTTTTATCATTTTACATTGATTTTATTGTAGATTTAAAGGTTATTTAGCTCTTTTTTTCTAATTAAAATATATTAATATAATTAAAAAAAATTGTTAACGTCTGTGTGGCACATATTAGTGCGTGGAGAACCCCTACTATGTGTTGGGATGTTTAGCAACCAAATACCGCCTTTAGAGATGGCATTTAAAAGGTCTCGATGCCCCTGGCCTGATGAGAAAATACATGTTTCAAAATTTATGATGGTTTGGCGCTGGTGACCATTTCTTCCCCCCTTCTCTCTCTCTTTCTTCACTAAGATTTTCGCGCTAGCATCTTAAAAATTCAAGAACAGTCCTTTGATTTATTGGTTCTTCAAATTTGTTCCATTTTCTTTTTATTATGATTTTTTGTATCTTGATTAATTTATAAAATTTGTATGTCTTTCCAATTTCATCCTTCTTAAAAAAAATCATCTTTAAATTTGTTCCCAATTCTTTTTATTGTAATTTTTTGGTTTTAAATTGATTTTGTTTTATGATATCACTCTCTTTTGATTTTTTTTTCCATCAAATTTAATTCTTATTCATTTGATTGCTAATTTTTTTGCCTTGATAATTTTTTTGAATTGATATTTTTAAATTGGTTCATAATTTTTTATTGAACCTAGATCCAAGGTTTTATGAGTTGTGAGTTTTTAGGATTTGACTAAGTTTAGGACATTTGCCCGGGCATACAACATTTTTTTTCCTTTACCTAACTAAATTATTTTTTAATGTTTCATCCTTTAATCTTTATTCAACTAAAAATTGTTCCTTTTGTTTTAGCTTTCTTTTTATGAAATTTTTTATTTATCTTGAAAATGACCCAGTTTTCTTGAATTTTTTTTGTTTATTGTCATTTTTTGGGTGTTTTTTGCCTAATTCTTTAAAATTATTTTTTTATCCCTTCCTTAGTTATTTAAAATAATTTTTTAAAATAAATTATAAGATTAGAATTCTATTCTTGTTTCATCCCCCTTTATTAATTTAGTTCTCATTTTTTTATTACTATTTTTTTATTTGAAATTAAAAAAAAATTCTTTTTTTAGTTTTTTTCACTTATTTTGAAAATAAACTAGGTTTTCTTAGGTTTTTTTAACTATTGTTCTTTGTTGGATTTACTTTAGTTAATCCAAATTAAATTGGTTAGGAATTGAGGTTTTTAATTCAGTTTAAGTTTATGATTTACTGGATTGTAAATTTGAAACCTTTGTCTAGGTTTAAAAAGTTCACCTAAATTTTCTTGAGGTTTTTTCTCTTTTTTAAAACTAATATTTTTTTAGTTTTATCATTTAATATTTATATTATTACTGATTAAGCTTCTTCTTTTTTGCATATTTACCTTCCATATGATTTTTTTAACTATGTATTTTTTGTTGTTTTCCTTTTTTGTCTATATATCAGCTTGTTTTCCTCAATCATGTTCATGTCTCAAGTCACATTTTAAAAAAATTAAAACATGTTTGCGTCATAAAAATACAAATATTTTTCAATTTTGCCATCTTCATTTTTTTTTTATCTTTCAAATCCACTCTCTATTTTTTTTTATTGCTATTTTTTTTGTGTTGGGTGATTTTTCAGATCTTTTATAATTTCATCCTCCATGAGTTTTTTTCTATCAAATTTAATTCTTATTTTTTTATTACTTTTTAAAATTGATATTTTTTTTTCATTTGGTAAATTGAAAATTCATTTTCATGCTT